ATCAGTTGCAAGAATTGTTAATTTTATAACTCTTAATATTCACTTTTAGAATGTGTTCTGTGGAACAGCAGGAAATAAAGAAAAACTATTTTAAAGCTTCTTTTAAGAAACATGGAAGGATATGAAAAAACTGTGCAAAAAATAAGCTATAATAATATAAGGACACAGAGTACACTAGTTTTTAAATACTTGAAGTTTAATGCCAGCAGAAGAAAGAACAAATGTAATGAAATGGTTCAATGCTGTGGGGCAGCAAAGGAAAGACTATTTTATACGAAGCTGTTAGACATACAAATAAAGTTTGCTCAGAAGTAACTAATTCAAAATTCAAATTAATCCTTTCTAAATGGAGTAATGCTGAATACAATTAGTCTAGGAAAAAAAGGCATCCAGGTCAATAGCAATAGGATAAGCAATTAACCCATTAGGCCTCCCAGTTCCCCCATCAGGACAATAAACAGTAGGTCCAGAATTCTCCTCCTCATACTCTAGAAGTTACTTAAGTACACAAGGTTTCTTTCAAAGTGTACGGTGCCAGGGCTCTCTTCAATTAATGATAAATACAAATATTGCTAAGTTCTTAGCTGTGAGTGAGAGACGTCTCCTCTATTTCTGAACTACTCAAAATTATTTTAAATATCAGCAAACAGCTATGAGGAAAACAAAACATTCTTCAAAGAACAGACTTTTTCCCTAATGCCTGCCCTGATTAATCACAAGCTGAAAAGAATACTTGATGTCTGGTGCATATTTCAGTTAACACTATTTCATAAAACCTGGCTTAACAGAAGTATAAGATAAATTAAATCAAATAATAGAAAGGTTGAAAGATGTGCCAGCTGACTTGCACTCAAGAAGAAACACCCAATCCCTGAGCACTAGGAAAGACCACAGCAAAGCAACTGACCAAGCAAGCAGCAAGCAAATTTTTAAAGCTATCTTCATGAGTTATTCACTTCCCTTAGAACACAGTTGTGGCAAAAAAACCATTCACTTTGCAAACAAACATATGCTATACTGGATAACACCAAAGGATACTACATTGTGAAGCATATAGCCTTGAAGACAAAGTTCTTGACCATAAGCTGTAAGAACTAGATGATGAATGTTATGATACTGAGCATTTACGACTCAGAGGCACAGTGCTATTTGTTCAGTTTGCACCTTATCAAGCTTTATATGAGGGCACTCTTTGTAATGCCAAGTTGAAAGCTACCCACAAATAAGGAACTGTTTCCCATAAGAAACATCACTCTGAATGTTTTTCTCAGAAACAGTGTGTACCCTTGCTCTTTATAGTATAGCAGTAAACAACTTTTCTGTATGACACCTGAAAATAAGCCAAATGCCCCACAAGAGATGTCTGTATTTAGCATCAAATTCTTAAGCTCACATGTCTCTACACAAAAAGCTGTGACATATGTCTGTGACATAATAAATCATGTGAAAAAGTTCACAAAGTGCTAGAGTACAAAGAATGATTTAAAGAATATTCAGTTATTGACAAATGGTGTTACAAAAAACCTGTCTTGAGATGGAAATATTTATTCAGTATACAGAAGGCTCAAATAACTTTCAGCAACAAGAATGAGCTGAGATCAGTATCTCAGGCACAAAAATGTGATCAGAAAGACACACCTTTTTAAAAGGAAAGTGTAGGATATTTTCTTTTACTTTAAATAGACCACACATTTACAATCAAATTATAAGTACAAAAATCTGATATCTAGAAATTAAAAAAAGGAAAGACTAAACAGAAAGCTTCTTCGTGAAGCTCTGAGACTGGTAATTAAAAGTAGATCCTTTGATACATATCCCTGGGCATAAGAATTTTCAGACTAAACAAGATGTTTCAACTAACTCACTAATCAATTGTCATTGTTACAGTCTTTGGAGATATGTAGTTTCCATATTTACATTGTACAGAAGTTTTCCATGAATTTGCAGCCAGTATTTCAGAGAGAGACAATGCGAAGCATCAAGTTTGGTTTTAGCTATAGACTCAATATTGATAAGTCTATAACCTGGAACTAATTACTAAGAACTTGTTTCTCAATCTCCACAGCTGAAATGTGATCCAAACAATCTCCTTCTCCATACTTCAAAAATTAAAACTAATTTACCTAATCTATAAAGCAGAAATCTCACAACTGTCTTTTCCTTTGTTCTAATGTTTGCTTTGCACAATCCTCCTATGAAATCCTGTCGGTAGCGTAACTGACAGAGCTAACTGTTCAAAGGCTATTAGAGACAAGGCCACCCCCCAGCAGTATAGGACTACTTAGAAGTTATTGACTTAAGGTCTTACAGAAACCAGCTGCAGAACTGTTGTTTCCAGAATTCATTGTGTTTATAAATTAACAGTTGCAAACTGATGAAAGCAGCATCGGTAACTGAATGTTTACTTTGGTAACGCCAATAATTGGGCCCAGCAAAACATGGGGCTTTGAAGTTCAGTTATTGCATATAACACCTATCAACAGTCCATTATTTACCAGAACTGGCATGATATAGAAGTACAGAAATAGGTTTGGGTTTCTTTTTTACTGAAATAAGGAACCAATAACCAGAATAGGCTTGGCCCTATTTGCAAAGTCAACAAGAAAAACAGCTCCAACTTCTCATTGAACTGTTGATCCAATATATTAACTTGCACCCAACATCTCTATTTTCAAAGATTCGACGTGGCTGAATATGGAAACACAAATGCACAGATCTATTTGGTGCTGAGCTTTTCTTTGCAATGACCAGCAGAGAATCCTGACTGAGACTTAACAATTAAATTTCCCCACATGAGCAGCAGAAATCAAGGTATATGCATATAACTGTACAAGTCCTTCCCACAATGGGGCTGCTCACAGCAATTGACAGAATCCTTAGCACAGCACATGAACACCTCATCAAGAGACTGGTGAAAAAGGGAATAACTGAGGAAACAGGCAGGACTGCAGAAAGCAGAAAAACACAGAGCTGAAGAAAATTCAGTTTACTTCATGAACTCTCAGGTCAAACAGGGAGAGCAACAGGTCCAAATGAGGGCACCTCCACAATCAAGGGACTTCTGATAAGGAATTTTTCTGGATAATAATTTTAGTCTGAAGTATTGATCTCTTCTCAAATTTTCTTTCAGAGTTCAAGTTCTCATCTACATTTTGAGTAAAACAATGCATTTCACCTCAAATTATGCTACTGAAGAAAATGTTTTATGTCTTGAAAGCAAGAAAGCCTCAATAGATTTGGATGTCCAGTCATTAGAGAAACACTTCTGTCTTAGACACTGAGGTCACTTTCGCTATTACAAGGAAGTAAACAGTTGTTTGCATTCTCTCCCCACTATCAAAAAAGTTAACTTTATTTACACTGTTAGGGAACAGGTATCTTCACAGGTTTGTTATTTTGAAAATGAAATTATGTTTTGTATGAAAAAAATGACTCAGACATCCCATAACAGTGAGCCACCACATTAAAGTTTTTATTTTTTTAAATATTTTAAAATTATTAAAATATTAGTCATATCGTCTCCTGCCTCAACTGTGTTCCCTCTCTGCACCCTACAAAGAAGTACATATTCTCCCAGCTTCCAAAGACTAAAATTCACAGTCCCTGGTCTGCCATAACAATTAACTCTCATACCTCTGGTCTGATGATTTCAGATCTCAGCTGGCACCTCAGACATTTGGAGCTGCACACATGCCATGGTTACATCTTACAGCTCCTTGCTGTATACTGTTGAGCTGTTCACAAATTAAATACTATGTATGAAAGAATAATATAAACATCAAATTATTAACTGAGCAAAACAACATTTTTTTTACTATACAAAGTTGGACAACTAAAGCAATGGAGGGTTACTGAGCAAGATACACCTACATTTTGGTAAACCAGTATGTTTCCATACACTGTTACTGCTACTGAGTCTCAATGTTTTCGATATTGTACTGAAATAAAGCTGTCACTGCACCTACATACTAGTCAGCTGTTTTTTTGCTCTTGATTAAAAGATAACACATTCCTATGTCTATCTTCAAACCTGTTTTAGCTTTACTATTTGTGTTTGGTTTCATACTGAATACCCCTTGTCAAACGTCAGGGCTGAAATATTCAGTGTTCCACCTTGCATCAAACTATATTGGAAAGACAAACCAAAACAGCTGCACTTTCTAAAAATGTATTTAAGTAGTTTTCCCCATATGAAAAAAAAATTTGCATCCATTCTACTAGCTTCATTCTTTATTCTTTGAAATTAAGCAGTAGGGTGTCCTCTATGTAATACCTTAGTACCTTCTGATTTATCTACAAATATCAGAAAAATATCTGGGAAGGAGAAAGAACTGAGGTTGAGGGACAAGATGAGAGAGACCAAAAATGGAAGATGTATAAGATGATGTGAAAGATGAAGGGCCAGAGAGAAGACACTAATGAAGATGGTAGACTACAATAACAGAGTGAAGGATTGCTTGATGAGTAGGGTATAAAAGGAGCAAGTATGAACAAAAAATTTTGATACAACACTGTGGTATAAACTTGCACATTATGGCCCTAATTTCTTTTACAGCACTTGTTTGAAATTGTTTGATTACTTGGAACTAGTAAAAAAAAAAAGATGAAAAAAATCTGGAGCCCAGAAGAGATCTCATTTAGCACTTGAGTTCTATTTTCGCAAGTGAATAAGCTCAGCAATTTGGAAACAGTAAAAACAAACAGATCTAACCCTCAAATACTTAGGACTTCATGCATTTACAGCAGCGCGTGCTGCCATCTCGAGGCAGAAAGTTTCAAGTACAGCTACAAAGAAGCAATGGAAGGAAATCCATACTAGCTATCTTAATCAAATTTAGGGAGGTGTTTCTTTTGAGTTTTTAACCAATGAAAATTTATTAGGGCAGTGAAATTATGGTCGTCTTTTTAAAGAGAACATAGACTCCCCATTTTTAAAGGATGTTTATTACACAATTCAAAAAGATGTGAAAGCCTTTATACCTGTATAAGGTTGCACGTTTCAGTGATCATGCCATTGAGTGCACAGAACTCAGCTGAATGGAGTCTTTTCTGGAGAGTTTAGAAATTAGGGTCACAGGGAACATGCAACTGTATTAAAATAAGAAAAGACAAACATTAGTTCAAGTGTAAACCTACAGAGCAGAATGAAGATGTCTGTATGAAGGGACAAGAGGTAAGACTAATCAATCTGGCTATCAACAGGATACTGTAGTTCAAGCTTCAGATGGGCTTAAAGCCCTCATGGCAATGTTCTCCACTCAGTAACCTACACATTTTGTTCTGCTATTAGATATGAACATTGCATAAACATAAGCCTAAACCCACTGGTACTTTAACAGAAGAATGCTGCTACCACACAAAAAAATTTCTATTTGATGTGCTTAGTGTTAGAGATCGAACAATGTAATTTAATGCATAATCAAGTGAAGAGAAATTTGCTCTCATCCTGAATGAGCACTTCCCAAATTTGCAGGCTCTCAGTACAGACCTTTACACACAGATAGCAGTTAGGTTTTTTCACGTGGGAATAACTCAGACATGAACAACTAATAGAGCAATATTTATTTATTAATTACTTGTACTGCATTACATTTTCATGCTCACTTATTTTTCCTGAGAAATGTTCTGGCCTATGCAAACTTTAGGGAAGTTTAGCTTCAAGCTAAGGTTTGTAATTATACATGCTAATGCTTTGAACCTAGGCTGTGTCAGTTATCTATTATCTCAAATGGCTTCAGAAATATTACTGTATTTGCATAAGGTAAAATTGCAAGCAACAACTATACCATAGTACTGGACTTATTTGACTGATGCCATCTAAAGATGTTTACCAATGACATTCTTGTCTTCATCCTTCTTCTACTTCTGCTTTTTGTACTGAAGGAAAAAAAAAGTTATTTTTAGAGAAAAATGCATTACTAAAAGCAACGATTCTTACTGTCAAGGATTTACAAGTCTACTCATCTACACAAAATTGTCTCAGTTTCCTTTCAGTTCGGAGATATGATGGGCTTTCTGTCTACAATATAAAATAATGGAGACATTTGCTTTCTCATGAACACTGTGAATCTGATCTTCCTCTCAGCTGCAGAATCTGAATGATGCTTTTCATAGTTGTATGGCGAACAAAATCTGATTCATGCACAGACAGTTATTTACTAGACTGCTGGGATTTAGCTACTACTATAATTTTGTAATCTATGACTAATCTGTGCTTGCTCCTGTAACAATTCTTATTTGGATTTCATGGACTGGCAGAGATAAGGACTTAACAGTCATTTAGTAGATTAAATCACAGATACTTAGAGCAAGTGGAATTTTTGACTTGTTTCATTATACTCAGAAATCCATGTTAACATGTCATGCTCACCACACAGCTTTTAATCCAAGGAAGTCCATGTACTCTCAGCTGTCTACAGCCATACAATGTATATTCTTTTATTTAAGTATCTGATCTGTCATTCCACAATTTTTAAGCTAGGATACATTGATGTGGACCTTGCAGAACTGACAGTACCTTAAAATATCACTCAAACTATGATAATAAAGATGCATTTCCACTAGGTGATAACTATGACTAAATGAATTACCACAATTTTGCCACTGTGCTGTCTAACCCTGACCTGTACAGCCAGGGACAAGACTTGAGAAAAAAACATTCTGCAAATTTAAACAAAATGACTAAGAGGGGATAGATTCCTGTTAGGAATGCAGCAAGTGAGTATCTGCAAACTGTGACTTGCAAAAATTTCACATCTTTCCTCTGTGATAGATTTATATTAGCCACCACTGTGGAAATTTAATATAATTTAATATAATACAAGTTACACGTAGACTAACTTAAAACATCGATGGTTCTAAATAATACACTTGATTTTACATTGGCAAAGATGAATTTTTAAACAGGAACCACCGCAATCATAAACCTAGCAGACAGGTTATTTCCTTTCACTTGGATACTTCAGTTTGTCCAACAGTTTACTGTTCATAATTTGCTTTGCAATGTTTTCTTCATTTTGAACTGAGTAAGAGAAAAGCTTAGACAATCTGATGCACTTACTTTGTTCATGATCCAGTCAGCATCTTCAATGGCTCTCTTAATAATTTGCTGTATTCTATCAGGATCATCTTCATCAGCATGAACTTTGAAACTCTGCAACATTTAATCTCAAGTGTTACACAGACTAATCAACTCAATGCACCTGTTGTTTAAATAAGGATCACTTTTAAACCCCAAAGAAAATTTAATGCCAAACTTTTGATTTGAAGATGTAAAAATATACATCACAGCATCTGCCCACACTATTTCCATAACAAGGCTTATCAAATGTATTTTCCATATAAAATGTTTTACTCTTTTCACACATTATCATCAAAAAAATACCAAAAGATGATCGCAGACTATGAAAACTTCAATTCGGGACAACAATCAAGGTATTTTAATGTAGAAATGCATAAAAGTACAAGCTCTGGTTTAGAAAGCATGTAACATCTCAGTAAATTTGACAATACCTAAGTAAAACACTGCATAGTGAAGTTTCCTTGAAGTTGTCAGTTATAGTAAAACTACAAGAGACACAGCACAACAGGTATAATCAAAGGCATTAAATAACCTCCATATGAACACCTGTTGTGGAAAACAATCCCAGATGGGGAACTAGCAAGTATTACCAAAAGGATGTGGCTACGTAAACAAACAATTGTTGTTCACTATCTTGACTAACACAGGAGCTGACAAGAAAGCAAAGGAAAGCAAACAAAATCAAATGCTCCTTCACATAATCCCTCTATCCACAGAGGTTTCAAGCCTACAGAAGAACTTGTTTTAAAATTCCAGGAGTTATAAGAAATTGGTCCAAACTGTAGGATAAAAAAAAAAAAACAAATAAGTGACCTACAACACAACTCTGAACTCAATAACAGAAAAGAATTACTCTTCTCACCTGCCTGATTGCATGTCTGTAATGCTGACGAATATTCTCTTCAGGAAGCTGCTCACAGCATCGGAGCAAATAACGGTACAACTGCAAAGCGTTCCGAACTAATCCAGCATTGGGTAGCGGAGCCATTATCAAGCTTTTCAGCTGTAGAAAAATCAAGAACACAAGTCAGGATACTCACTGAATTTTATCAAAAACACAGTAATAAAAGCATAAGGCAATTTTACAACAACAAAAGCAAGGCATGTAAATTAAAACTTAGCACTATAACTTGAAAAAATCTTTAGAAGAAAACAATATGAAATGGATCAGAACTTGCTTGGCTTACAAACAAGTATGCAGAAAAGATCGCCTTACTACTGTAACACTAAGCTATATTGTAATACAGTGCTAGTATTTTCCTAGTAAAAAAGAAACCAGGAACAACCACCCTCCCCCCAAAAAAAACAAACAACAAAAAAAAAACAATGACAGAAAATAAAGGAGTACTGGCAGCTCCAAGAGATGTTTGCTTGTTAAACCATAATGATCCTGAGGCTCATAAAAGCTTACAGTGTTTCCTGTGAGTATCTGTAAGACCTCATCCACATGGTGCCACTTCAGAATTAGGGCCTTGATAATTGCTATGAGTTATGTTGTAATTTAAAAATATTTCCTAGCATTGTGACTCTCTCAAGAGTATGTTGTGGACTGGCTTGTGAATGTCAAGCTTTAACTCAAAATACAGAAGATATGCAAAAAAATACTGCGCTTTGAAATCTTCTGCTTTTTGGAACAGCAACAGCAAACGAACAAATCTAGCAAGTGTCACCTCAGTAACTCCATTTATGGATTGCACCAATACGTCCATCCAAGCTATATAAAGTGCTACTCAAATATGGTAAAGGACTTGTCATTTAACAGATGGTTACCATCTGCAGAGAACTAAATTAACATTTGGAAAATAGCACTTCTACATCATTACTCTTTTAAGAATAAAGATAATACATCCGTATCTGAATAATGAAGGTGTACGTCAGTACTGTAGCACCCGTTACAATACTTACCCATCACTTGGATTTATTTACATTTTGCTTCTCTTAAGCAATACCTTTGGCCAATTTCTGAGTACAGTACCACAGTAACCACCCCATGCATGGGCTGCTAGGGATCATACTGATTATTTCTAATAGGCTGCAATACTTCTCCAACAGCTTGCAAGATGCACAGAAAAAAAGCAAAGGCTGCAATTTAAATCCAAACTGTATCATTTCTAAGTACTTTGGATCCAAACGTATTTCACGACAACCCTTTAAGAAATAGCACAGTATGTGCAACATCTCAGAACTTTGTGTAGTCCAAATTAAAGCCTGCTGTAAGCAGTTGCTTTCAGGCAGCTTGGAGCTGATCTCACAGTATAACACAATCCATGCAGGCTCTATCACAAACGTACTAAAAACTGGAAGAATTACTTAAGCGACCCCCATTAGGAAGGAGTAGGTTATGGAGGTTTACATTTCATCATCCATACGACTTTTTAAATTTCTTTGATGTTCTGACAGAAACAGAGAATAAAGTTCCTTCCAACATTTGCTGCAGGAACACTGCACCCTTGAATCAGACACTGTGTTCTAATCTCTCCAGATTTCATGAAATATTCATTCAGAATTCACATTAACTCCCTCATAGATTTGAAAGGGTCATACCTTAGAGTTCCTAACATCCATTCAGTTGCCAAGCAGCTACAGTTCCTGACATTAACAAAAAAACTGCTCCAATTGAGCAATGTTTTATAACTACAGGAGGACAGGGTTTGTCGGCTTAAAATAAAACCCCACGCATAGACAATTACATTTACATTTTAAAAAATATCTATAAGAGGGTAAAAAGTGACTAGGATAGTGGAAATTTTCTGTTGAACGTGATACAGATTTGTTCCCATCTGCTATGGAATTTAGTATCTCTCAAGAATTTTGAAGCACAACAGAATAAATACCATAGGAAAATAATGCTGGAACATTTAAAAATCATCTTTCTAAGCACCTGCAATATGAACACTTGCAGACACTGGTACTTCTCACAGTGGCAAAAAGCTGTTCATTGAGTATCTACAAAATGTCCATCAGAATGAGATATCTACTGCTGTGATCTCTACTTTCAGTAAAACAAAACAGACTGTGGTGAAATCAAGTAGGTACAAACGAGCATCTCTCTACAACAGGAACAAGAGCTCTGCTGATTTACAGCAATATCTTTAAAGCTTAAGCCATAGCAAAGGTTTGAAGACTGGGTGAAATTTATACTAAAGCAATTCAACAACAGGTAGCTGGATTCAAAAACGTAACATCCTGTAAAGTGTTTGCTCCAGTACAGCTCTTCGTCTGCAGAAGACATGTGAGAAAAAGTTTTGCACTATTAGCATTATTATCTGCATTGGAATTGTGCCCATAGTCTTCAGCCAAGAGCTGAAGGTATCTGTACTGGTAGGAACTTCCTATTTCTGTGTATACCTATACACATATCTCATGAAAAAGTTTCTGCCACAAACTATTTACAAGGCAGACTAATGACAAGTCACAAGATGAGGCAGATGAGCCAAACAGGTGGGATGGGAATGGGGAGGAGGTGACAGCAATCCGAACATGTTTTTGTGCAGACTAATAGAGCACACAATATAGCTCACCAGCTGCTTAGCTGCTATCAACAGGCAAGTTCTGTAACAGTCTCTTTCTGCAGGTCCTTAGAAAATAAAGGGTCACAGCTAATGAGTGAGGGGTGCCATGGAAGTCCTTAAGAAAAGCTATGACGACACTTCACAAGGAAAATCTTTTTCTAGCCCTTAAGAGAAAAAGATGAGTTTTAAGGGAGTAACCGTTAAGTGCTATCTCATGAACTGATGAAGAAAAGACCATTAGAACTAGCTTAGGACTTACATAGTCCTCGGGAAAGTACTGACATTCAGGGGATCTTAAAGTAGATAAGGAACATTCCTAAGATGGATAGATGGGCAGTGCCAATATCAAATATGACAGTGGCAGTTCTGTGGTTTCGCACGCAGCGCAAGGAAGCCTAATACACATCAGAAACAAAAAGTGGTTAATTTTCATTTGGTTATTATTACTGAATTCTAAAATAAACATCTTCAGGACACAAATAGTATAACATTTTAAAGAAAGATTCCATGGACAAGATGCAGGAAGTTTTGTTTCTTTAATTATTTACAGGCAACTCAGAAGTAGATGTAGTAGGTGATGAAATCACAATGTCTTGGTATGAAAACTTTCATTATCTGGCTCCCATCCTCATAAGTTTTCCCTTCTGCCAGTCATTCCCTCCTCTCAGAACTGAGAAGTAACAAAGACAAAACTGAACTGGTCCTGGCAGGTCACTGAGGTCAGAAAGCCTCACCCATCACTGAACAGTCCCATCTTTATCTATCTAAAACAGATGAGTTGTTCAGTGCACTCTGAGCTTCTTAGGGTGTGCCTGGTTTTGAATATTTGATATGTTCTGTTAGTAAAGTAAGAGAGATGAGGTAAGACTTCAAATAATACCTCCTGGGAATTATTCACAGCCAAAATATGGCTTCCATTGGGTTTCAAGAACAATTAGAAAACCATTCTTCCACCATGAGGACATTAAGTTGGTCCTTCAATGCTACAGTAATCTTTTCATTATGCTTGTTTGATTCCAGTTCTGTTCACTCATATTTGTTCAATAGAAGTCATTCACCCTCACCCACTTAATACACAAGGGCTTAAATACTGGGCAAAAAGATGTAACAAAAATTCAGAAACACAGACTAAGAGCTGACTTTTCAAAATGATTCAAGCCCAACTACTCAGAATTACAGAATGGCCAGGGTTGGGAGGGACCTCAAGGATCATGAATCTCCAACCCCCCTGCCACATGCAGGGCCACCAACCTCCCCATTTAATGCTAGACCAGGCTGCCCAGGGCCTCATCCAACCTGGCCTTGAACACTCCCAGGGACAGTGCATCCACACAGCTCTCTGGGCAGCTGTTCCAGCACCTCACCACTCTCTCTGTAAAGAATTTCCCCCTGATGTCCAACCTAAATCTCCCCTCCCTCAACTTAAAACCATTTCCCCCTCATCCTGCAGTTATCTACCCTTTCAAAGAGTTGATTCCCCTCCTCTCTGGAGGCTTCCTTTAGGTACTGAAATGCTGTAATGAGGTCACCCTACAGCCCGAACAAGCCCAGCTCCCTCAGCCTGTCTTCATAGGGGAGGTGCTCCAGTCCCCTGATCATCTTCATGGCCCTCCTCTGGACCCTCTCCAACAGCTCCCTGTCTTTTTGTACTGGGGGCTCCAGACTTGGACGCAGTATTCCAGATGGGGCCTCACAAGAGCAGAGTAGAGGGGAACAATCACCTCCCTGTCCCTGCTGCCACCCCTCTTTTGATGGAGCCCAGGACACCATTTGCCTTCCGAGCCACAAGGGCACACTGCTGGCTCATGTTCAGTTTTTCATCCATCAAGACCCCCTGATCCCTCTCCACAAGAGTGCTCTCAAGGACTGCTCCTTCCAGTCTGTATGGATGCCTGGGATTCCTCCGGCCCAAGTGCAAAACTCTGCACTTTGCCGTGTTGAACCTCATCAGGTTCATCCAGACCCACCTTTCCAGCCTCTTGAGGTCCCTCTGAATGGCATCCCTTCCTTCAACTGTGTTGACCGCACCACTCAGCTTGGTGTTGTCAGCAAACTTGCTGAGGGTGCACTCAATTCCATCACTGATGTGTACTCAATCTGTCAGCTCATCAAATTTGCTAATTATGGATTTGCACTGAAACATTCAGCTTAAAATACTGATCTGAACACTCCCAGAATGCAGTTCATCTCTCATTCACTTCCAATCTTTTTGCTAAAACATTTTCAATCTTTACAACGAAACCTATGCTGAACATCAGTTCTGTGCATTTTTTTGGTTTGCATTCATTCCACTTTGGCATTTGAGAAAAAAGGTGATATCCTTGGAGGTCAGTAAGAGATCCACGTGCCACCTCTCCAACAAGCACAACAATGAAGAAACTCCAAAATGTAGCTCAGGTAACACAGAGACTCAATTGCTCCCTAATTTTCTCTCCATTGAATGCAGGAGTAGCAAAACAAGGGTTTTAATACAGATCCTGCAGTTGCAAGC